TTTATCGTTTCAGTTTGTGTTGCCTTTAACTCCGCATAAGGAACGATCGCAATTTACGCCCAATTTGTGGATAACTTCCGTTGATCGTCTATTCACAAAATTCCTCGCGTCACAGGGATGAATTATGTATTTAAACTGTGTCACATCCATCATTACATACTGAAAAGCACTGTACACGAATATGGTTCGAAACTTGTAAACAATAGGGTGTAGATTAGGATGTTATATTTTTGTATGTTAGTACTAACGAATATTTGTTCGGGTCGCGCAGTTACTCCGACCTTTTATTATATTGTAGTAGGTACATTGAAAACCGATCGTCAGTTCTATCGTAAAATAGTAACAAACACACGTTCATAATCTCACGCATTCTTCAGGATACTCTACTACCTACACGCATCTAATATAAAAGTAATTCTACTATGGTATTAATACTAAAATAATAATAAACTAAAAAGTTTGTTTAAACGTACTAATCTCAATAACTGCTTGTTCGAATTAACAGATTCTTGTTTGGTTGAAAAAAGCTGGATAGACCATTTATCGAGGAAGGTATATATAACTACGTTGAGACTAAAAGAACATTAGGGACATTGAAAATGTGGAAAATATGGGGAAATTTACTTATCTTTGATGGCTTATGTTGCGTGCGCTGCGAAAACGGTTTAAGAAAAAGCTATTTATGAAATAGTGATTCCTTTAAATAAAACACTTTAACGGTTTAAAACGCGATATATTAGTTGAAATAAGTTCACTAGTTTAACTAATATATAGCGTTTAAATAAAACACTTTAACGGTTTAAAACGCGATATATTAGTTAAACTTATTTGAAAATGATTTTTAACTTCGGCCCGACGTTTCGGATGCTTTGCAGCAGCCGTGGTCACGGGAGACTCTCCGTCTCCCCGTAGTCAGGGGATATATTAGTTAAACTTATTTGAAAATCATTTTCAAATAAGTTCAACTAATATATAGAGTTCAACAACAAACACTAAGCAACAAAACAACCATTGCCGGATCACATAGTCGGTATCTCTTAACTGACGGTACCCCAGTGAAAAGACCTTTCGCGTTTTCAAATTCAAATCTAATCACAAAGAAATCAATCGACAATAATTCTACGAACTGTGAAGGATATTTTGCGAAGATTTTCCCATAATAAGCGTAGTTGCCATGGCAACGATGGTCGAAGCGGATAGCGCGTAATTAGGTGTGCGGAAGGGATTTCGTTTTTGAATTTATTCTGGTTTTAATGGCGCCCAGAATATTTATTTTACCATTTCCAGTTATTACTATTTGCTTTGAAATCAAATAAAATATTTTAACGGCTTAAAACGCGATAAATATTATAATATTTTAACGGATGCTTTCCAACAGCCTTGGTTTCCGTGACCAGTATCCGTTAAAATAATCTCCGAATAAGTTGAACTTATAAATATCTCGTTTTAAACCGTCAACTGGTCGTAGTTCTCCAAATACAAACCATTATATATGATTAATTATTATAATGTGTATTGCTTGCGTAAACAGACAACACTTAAAAAACTTTTCTAATTTAACAAAGACAATTTTCAGTTCCATTGGTTTCATATGTTTTGAGATTACCCAATTATTTTTAAATTAATGAATACGTGATACCTAGGGTGAACGGTCGACGATCTCTGAAGGGTTAATATTTTCGGGCAAATTACATAAGATATGAATTTTAACCCGTCCTAATTGAGAAAGATTTCTTTTTAATTAAATGTAAATTAAATTAAGATTGAGTACGTAACTTACGTTCTCTGAAGTAAAACTTAAATAACAGTAAAACAAATAAAATTTAATTGATTTTATATATATAATAGTTTTGCATAATGTATATATTATGTACTAATATAAAGCTCCATTTATGTTTTTTTTGTTTGAATGCGCTAATCTCAGGAACTACTGGCAGATTTTTTTGTGTTAGTTAAAGCATTTATCGAGAAAAGCTATTAAACATCTTGCTGCAATTAATGCGAGCTAAAATATATATATTCTGAGCATATTCTGAGGTACTTTTTTTGGTGAGACAAGATTGTCGAAGTATGTGGAATGTTTATTTCGATGAGAGTACTCTCACAAAGGGTATCTGGTATCATACGATTGTATGTGCCCCTCCAATTCACCCGTGGTACATTTTCAATAATATAAATAGAAGAGATGTTGTATCTTTAATGCGGTTGCGTTCCGGACATATTCCGACAAACAAATTCAAACATCTGATGAGAGTAACATCAAGTCCTGATTGCACAGATTGTAACGTTGTGGAAGACCTCACTCATGTTTTGTCGGAATGTGTACGGAATGCGGCTTATAGACAATTGGTTAGTAAATCTATATGTTTTAAAAATGATGGGTGGTATGGTAGTGTCTTAGCCTTTCCATTTTCGGGGGAGGCTAGGATGCTACTAAACTTATATCATAAGGCTATGTAGATATGTTTAGAGTGTAGATATTTTATTAATTCGGTATTGTAATTGTAAATGTTGTATCATTGGGCGACATAACCTAATTAGGTTAAAGCCTACTAAATAAAGATTAAAAAAAAAAAATAGACGAACTTACCTACGTTTTGATTGTTCCGTTAAGAGCACAGTCTGTCTTGTCTGAAAGCGATCAAAGATCTACTTAAGAAAACATGATGATACAGAGTTACTGTGTCCGCAATTATCGATTTTTAAGTTTTGTAGTTCGTAAAATATACATTTAATTCAAACTGTTTTTTTTTTATTTATGATTAAATAATTTTATTTTATATGACGCTATAATGTTCCGAAAAATGCAAAAAGAACCTTTCAAACAACCTTTCCAACCGGTATACTTACGTTGACAGATACGCCAGTGTAAGTATGACGAAATAAAAAAATAGACTAGACAATATATTAAGTCTCGACATAGTAAATATTTATTATCTGGATATTAAATAGGTCGTAGGAAATGGACATAATATATAAATTCCGTCCAAGTCACAAACCACTGTCCACAGATGAAAAAAGCGTGACGTTTATTTTTCATTGGGCTTCGGTTATAGTCTGTGGATTTCTGAATATCAAATACTGTCTATAGTTTACGCGAGTAGTACACATTTAAATAAAACACTTTAACGGTTTAAAACACGATATATTAGTTAAACTTATTTGGAAATGATTTTTAACTTCGGCCCGACGTTTCGGATGCTTTGCAGCAGCCGTGGTCACTCCAAATAAGTTTAACTAATATATCGTGTTTTAAACCGTTAAAGTGTTTTATTTAAATTTCTGAATATCAATAAGCAAAATAGATCGATAGCGCATCTTGTTCAAAACAAGATGGTAACATGGCTGAGGTATTTCACTAACATCAAGTGAATCTCGATCGATAGAGGACAGAGGAACATACATGTCGTCTGTCATCTATCGTGAAGAGACAATTTCTAATCGATCGATTACCATCACTCAGACTTATTACTCATCTAGACGAGCGATGATTCGCAATCAAAAAGTGCAAAGCTATGTAGTTATAAGTTCGCGAATTCAATTTGCACTTTGAGCTCCTCCATTACTTGGGAGGGAGCTTCGCGTATCCTTGCTAATTTATTCATTAGCGGATGAGTTAGCGCGACGGAGGGGAGGGGGATTTATTGCGAATTGCGATGGATTTAAACGTAATTTTTCGTGTAAATCGTTCCGGGAGGAATGTTTATTTTGGGAGCGTAAAGCCGTGATAAACAGATTAGCGCGTTATGCCAGATGAAAAGATTCTCTGCTATCGTATACGTATGTAGTTTGTCTGAATGTATGTGTAGATTTTCCTTAGGGTAGTGTTTTCTGATACAAAACGTAGTCATATTATAAGTCACTAGGTATACCCTATGCTTAGATGAAGCAAATTGTGAGTTTAATGGTGAGATAAGAAACTAAACAAATAATAAATGTAATATAAGTTTAATTGTAACTCTTTTGGATATACAATATTTTTGTTTTTCCACTGTTTGAAGATATAAAGACTATCTGGTTTGTCAACTCGGCAATACATAATACACATACGTAAAGCTGTCGCAAAATGCAAAAACAGTTATAGCCACTAGATGCCATTCGATGCATAACTTTTTGAGTCTTTGAAGTGTACAATTACAAACAGTAGGTATGTAATTTTAAAGAAAGATTACGGAATATGCAACCGTTTGCAACTCGTTAAAATATTATACTTATTTTAATCTCATATTCTATGTATGTATAAACAATATTTATTCTTAAAGTACTAATTGGCAATTACGATTGAATGTAGGCAAATTTACGATATTTTTAATGTGCCATGCTGTTTATGAACAACAATTACAGATTATTCTTTTTGAAATTGTTATTGTATGTAATTGTCAAAAACATGGATATGGGGATTTTTTTTTGTTTTAAATTATTTTCCCCTTTTTTCTTGTCTGTATTTTGTAAACATATATTTTTTTGTTTGCAGTGCCATCTAGTTACATTATTTGCAAACTTAACACTGAGACGTTAAAATTATTATATAGTGAAGCCTTCCTTAAGCTTACATTTTTGCGGCGGCGACGCTAGATGGAAGTATTTTAGACTTTTGATACTTGCTTAGTTTACTTTATTATACTAAAAATACAAATATTAAAAAATAAACAAGTTACATCACCTTAAATCGGTCTCATTCTTTACGCTGGTTTTTAAGAATCCATATTTGTTTACCATTTTGGCCAGTCGTAATAACTATGCAAATATGATGTAGCTATATATATATATAGATTTGACATCAGAGTTCTCTACATTTTAGAAAACATAATAAATACATTTATTAGGCATTAAATATTGCACTGTTATAATTTCATGTAACGGTGTTATATTTTTTAAGCAATGTTGAATACACTGATTCCTCTGTGTCAACCAATGATAATATATCTCAGGACCAACGAGTTTTTATGTTTCCGTAAATAAACATAACACCCTGACAACAGTATGTAATGCTAATCAAAATGTCATCGCCGTCAATCCAAATCATAGAGTTGTTATTTGAATTCCGTTTGATTTTGCTCCCTGTAGCTGGGGCGGGTTGGGCAAAATTGGCAATGCGTCGCGGTCCTGCTGAGGCGGAGCGTTCGTCTTCGAGTAGTGAAGGGGCTGAAGCTTGGGGATGGAGGGGCAGGGACGCCCATGGGCATAGACGATGCCCTTTACCCAGTGACTCGACGACATCAACCACTATAGACACGGCCACTTCAACTTCGCGGACGTCTCTCACTTCTTCGATTTCTAGGTGACCCTTGGTCTTTTTTCACCGCTGAGTAGCTACAACTACAGTAGCACAAATCAGTGATATAACTTAAAATATATTCTTGCCAGGTGGTATTTTGAAAGTCCATCAATAAACGGACTCTTTATAAGTAACTTTGTATCTTAAAACTACATACAATATTGGACGTTATAAAGTATAGATAAAAACTAGCTGACCGTACCTCTGTAATATGGAGTATTTCGACCAAATGTGATTACTATATAAACGGTTTTTGTGAATGAATAATGATTGTATACATTTTTTTGGGTTTCTCGCACCGTATTCGCAACCCACTCTCTCTCTGATAATTTGTTACATCAGCCACTGTTTCTTCGCTTCTATTGGCCGCAGCCTTAACCTCGATAAAAGGTGCAACTAACACAAAAATATTTTCACAATTCGAACCCGTACTCCTATAGCATTCAACCCAGCTTCATAATATTAGTATAGATCGATGGTATATGCTTTTAAAATGGAAGAACCAAGAGAGCCAAAAGTATACAGACAAAACAAATATTTGTTTTTAGGTTTCGTTTGGACTTCGAGCAGTTTAAATGCAAAGCTCGCATCTTTGGCGAGTCGATGAGCTTATGTCAATGCATTGCAGACGACTTTAATAAGCGCCTTGGCTTTATGGAGAAACGCCTCGTTAATCTAGAGCAACGACAAAGGCTTACTGTAAGTACTGTGTAGTTGACGCAAGTAGTACACATAAAACTCTTTTGCGTTTGCGTTTAAAACCGTTAAAAGTGTTTTATCTATATTTTACGGTTAGTTTAAAGAAATAGTCAAGGACGTGTTTTGTTTCCTTTGTGCGTGCGAATCGAATGTGTGCGATTCGGCCGTAACCTACTAAAACTCCAAGAGCCATCTGGCCACAAGCCACTCCCTTAAAATGTATTTAAGCTTACTCTTCTTCCGTGACGTATCTACGTCCTATAGCATCACTCACACGGATGAATGGCAGAAAAAGATCACCACCGATATGCTGAAGGACCTATAATAGAAAGAAGATTCTTCCACAATGCAAAAATATATTCCCTAAAATACATTTCTGTTGTTGTCTCTCTCCCACTACTCTAATACAATAAGGACAAAAGATGTTTCAAAAATAAATTTGGCGGCTATGTTTAAATTTTGTTCCGCCATTTTGTATCAGTGGCAATTTTCCTGTCAACTTGGAGATAGTAAACCATATTTTAATGTAATGCAAATTTATTGTGCAAAATATTATGATTCATGACATTCGTGACAGTTAGGGGTAACTGTGGAGTTTATTGCCTGATAGACCTATCATTCATAATGATAAAATAGACTTCAGTTAAGGATTAAATAATAAAAGGTACTTGTGACTTCTATCTTAAGATTCGTTTTATTACTCGCAGACATTGTAAATAACTCTTTAGGTACAAACTACTACTTGTATCCTGCTTATAAATTATTAATCTGCTTTTTTTTCAAACAAATCTAATAAAGTACTTATTTTGGCAGAGTGAGAACAACTATTCGGCGATAATACAGAAAAACCAAAAGCTGTCCCATAAAACCAAGCAAGATGTTAAGGTAAGATTCTTATTCAAACACTGGCTGTGCCAGCGACTTTGCCCGCGTATTTTAGGTTTTTTTAGGTGTCTTGAACCGTTTTGTTTATATTTCCCGCTGTATCTTTGTCACAGCGCAATATTTTATAGGCCAAAACCTTCCTCGATAAATGCTCTCATCTCTCATCAATACAAAAATATAAAAAATATATTTTCTCAATTCCAACCCATAGTTCCAGATGCGCGTTCAAACAAACAAACAAACTCTTCACCTTTATATATGAGTATAGATATAAACATCACATTCGATTCACCAATAGTGTATTTTTTCTAACTTGGCAAGAGACCACAACAATTATGGCCGATTTCAAACCGTCTCGAGAGTGATGTTGCTCGCAAACATAACAGAGACAGGTAGATGACAGAGATAAAGTTTATTATATAATAATAAACTTCGGCCACGCGTTGCTGTGGCTGAAGTTATTTTTTTTATTACATTGTGGTATACAATTTAAGAGGAACAGTAGGGGAACATCAGTCACGGGGACCTTCATGCTTTTTACATAGATGGTATTTGTAAAAAAATATGGTGACCTCCATGACAGCTTATCTACGACTATAACCCTTTAGTACAATTGGTACTCGACGTTGGTAATGCTTTTTAGAGATCGTGCATGACCGGGATTTCTTACTTATATTGTCATTGACTTTGCTTACTTTCCATCCCAATGTAAATGTCAAACTAATGAAATTTTAATTTTTGCATTTTTGTAATATTTTTATCGTGAAATTTTAATTTTTACTAAGTGAATTTGAGGTAGTTTAATTGATTAATCCAGTGTCTCAAAGTGTTTTAGTGTAAATCAATGTAAGCTTTGTGAGAAAAACATTTTAGTTTAGTTACAACATATTTTCGTCTTGATTTTGAATTATTTATGTAAATATCGATGTCGTATCTAAAAAAAATAGTCTAAGAGAAATGAAACCGAATAATGTATAAAACTTATTTTGTCATTTTTCGAGATACGACAAACATCGCTTTCCTGCGACGAAATGTTTAATATCATAAGTTAATATACCTAACTACGTAATACTTATACAAATACAGCGTATCTAAATGTATATTATCTTGTTTATGAAATTATGTCGTACGTATTATTAGTTCAATTAGTGCAAATGAAACATTATAATGAAATCCAGATTGTTTCCTAATAGAGTCCTATTAGAATAATATTAATCAATTATTATAGTTAAATTTATATATAATCACGTATTTCATAAAAGCGTTATTACATATTGACAAAAGTGAGTCACAAACTGTCGCGGTTTTAAACCGTTAAAGTGTTTTATTTAAATGTGTATCGCGTAAACTACACTGTATGTAATAAAGCCATAAACGCCTATTATAAACAACTCTCTCTTTGATACGGAAATGTATTCACTGTTGTTAATAATATTTACGAGCGTTTTGTTTATAATTACTTCTTGATACTATTGTTGACGGTTTTAAATTTAAACTTGGCGCCTTAAAGTAAACACAAACGTCAGATGATGTGCAATGCAGTGACAAGACACGTTGGAAAGTTAAAATACATCAATATTAAAGTTGTTCTGTGTGCTGATACTGCCTCTTTCTTACCTATGTAATATTAGCGTTGTTTTTGTAATTTTATATATAGCCATCTCTTTCGCTTTAACTGTCACCTTATCGAACGTTAAGCGTCAGACTCGCAATTCTCATTTCTGTGTTCGCTTACGCCGTGCCCGTCAGTTGATATTTATAAGTAGCACAATTTGGGTGTGTTAAATGTGAAGAGTTGTTTGTGTATTTTTGTAATTGAATTAAAAAACACAAGTTTCTGTATAACTTTTGAAGAAGACAGTTAAAACACTATGGCAAAGGTAAATAATTCAGTTCCGGTAACGCGTTATTGCTATTCTTAGTGTATTTGCAAAAAAATTTTGCATGCAACATCAGACCACCCTATGACGTATGTATTTATGATTTGAAACTGAAAATTGAGTATTACGGTCTATAAACAGTAATCAATAATCTATGAAGAACGATGCCTCGAAAACCCGTTATCGTTTATAATTAATTTCAAATAATTATAAAAAAGACCCAAATATAATTACTATGTACACAAGTTATGCAATTTATAGCGTTTCCTTAACCCGTCGATAGAAATTATGCTATATAACGCTGATATTTTAAATAAATACACCTTTTTAAAAGTATGAACTAAAATAATCCAAAATTATACATCAAAGTATTATATTACCAAACGAAAAAATGCCTACTATATTTATATTTATTCGATAAACGAAAAAGCGTTTAATTTATCTTCTAAATAATTTCTGCTAATTTATTGCATCATGCGAAGTTATGGAAAAGTAATTTGTACTGCCTCAATAAAAATTTTAGGGTGCATATTCGGGTGGCATGGCCGCGGGCTGTCAATGTCAAAAATCAATACTTGTACAGTCACACACACATATACAATTTGGCGGAAAAGTAAACTACGATAGTTTTCTGTAATTAGGTAATTAAACAGTGCGATCGGTAATCGGTATGGTGTGTTTTGGCGCGGCCATCAGACGATGTTATCAAATGACTTTCTCGCGGTACTGTTCGAGGTGGCAGCCTCCGCGAATCGAATGGAAGGTATGTTTCTGATAATTATACGGTATACCGAAACGGTATTGGTAATTGTATAGAGCAAAATTCTTCCTTGAACGAGTGTTAATTCCTATTTTATATCCCGTTACCATGTTTCGTTCATTCGAAAATAACCTCTATTTGCCGTGGACTTAGAAAATCTAAATTACTACTACATTATATTTTCATGGTTATGTCCAAATTAATTTGAATTTATTGTCTTAATCTTAAAATTTTTGCTTGACATCTCTGTGGCTATAATGACTGGTATTCCAAAACTTATATAATATATTCCCACACAACACTAGAATTATGTTAAAAATTTTAGGTTGATATACTAGTATTGCAAACATCATATTACTTAAGACAGGCTGCCCGTCGTACAATGGTTTAATGATTCTTCGTATAATATTTCAATTCTTACGAAAAAGGCTTAAAGAAATTATCTTCTATAGATTGTAAAACTAGCATAGCATACAATTATTAATAAAGTAGACATTTGTATATTTATAAATGAAAATAATATCTACTGAACAATGTTTACAGTACTTTGTCATATAGAGTTCAGAGGAGCCACACAAATGTGCCTAGTTTCTGGAAAATGATAAAATCATTATTTATATTGATGTAATGTGATGAGTAATGATATTGAAATCATCATAATGATATGTTATCAGTTACTATGTTGTTAGAATTTATGACTAGTTCTTAATAAACAACATTTTAATTTGTTAATCTGAGTGTAAAAACCCAGACTCTTAACGATACAGTGATCCAAATAACATTTGATTTAATACTGGGCTGTAAATGGTGTAGGTTCTAATGCCAATTTAGGTGAAGTTTTAAGAATATAATAGTGGCGGTTCTTGTTAAAGCCACTGGATCATTTCTGGGTTTAAGAGCCTTGCTTGTGCCTACAAAGTTAAGACCTGTCTATAGTTTACATGAGTAGTACACATTTAAATAAAACATTTTAACAGTTTAAAAAGCTGTGGTCACGGCTGCTGCAAAGCATCCGAAACGTCGGGCCGAAGTTAAAAATCATTTTCAAATGAGTTTAACTAATATATCGCGTTTTAAACCGTTAAAGTGTTTTATTTAAAAGTTAAGACCTGTTCCCAGCTCTTGAGTAGAGGAGGTAACAATAAGTATTGGTTGAAAAATTTATTACAAACAGACAATCTCATATATTCATACTCAAAAACTTATTACCTACAAGAGTCTTTTAAGTGAAACCGGTGATATTTGTCAAATTCTGAAATATATTGCTTTCTGTACAGTATTGATTTAACTAAGTTGAATGTTAAAATGTAATGACGTACAAGTTCTTAGTACTTCTAGAGTGTGTATAATTAATATCTTAGATAATGAGTATAAAGCACGCTCTGCAAATAAATCACAATCAGACGTCTGGTTGTACTCAGTAAATAATGTATCAAGGAAATTTCCAGTGTACATGTCATTGCTTTTATAATATGTACTTCACATGTATAAATACATGCGGAGTAAATAATGTTTCTCTGAAGAATACAGATAAACATATAACCAAATTGACAATATTAAGGCCTTTTTTTTAGTTGTCTGTATTGAGAGTATTTTTTTGTTAATGATTTAATTATCTGATCAATATAATTATATAAATGATTGTTGTTAACTTTATATCTTGTGTAGCTTAAGGGCTAAGGAAATATCACTTGCCACTACATTCTCTGGTTCTGGATGTGAACTTCAGGGTAGGAAAGTAGTTTGAGCCGGAAAGAGATCTATGATCAACTGAACTATAAATAGATAGATAGATAGTAGATACATTCAAGGCCCCAAAAAAAATTCTAAAAGTACAAAACACCTTTGTTTTTAGAATTTTTTAAAAACTGATCTGATTTTTGAATATTAGATTTATTCCTCTTTCATACTATAAATGCAATGTTTATGCTTAGATACTGGCCGTTAGATACAACTAATTATAGGCACAAGTCAGTACCCCCAATAATATTGCAACAGTAAAAAATAATCCCGCTTGTTTTATATTATGTAATAAATAGATAGCAAATATCTGTAATCGCCTTAATTCAATAATTATATAATAAATGTGAAAATGGCAGACAGTAAATAATATCATTATAAACTTTTAACGGTTTAAGACGCGAATTATGTTAATTTTTTATGTTATTCAAGTAAGTATGCTCCAACATTTCGATGCTTTGCAACAGCCGTGGTCAGGCGGGAACGACACATTGCGCGTGAAGCGTGATTTGAACCGTTAAAAATGTTTTATTTAAATGTGTACTGCTCGCGTAAACTACATACAATAACTTCATTGCCAATTAAAAATCCACTTAATTATTATCACAAATATAATAAGGTGATTTTGTTTTCATATATATACCTAAAATCAATATGTACATAGGAAGCCTAACACGTTTAAGTAAAATTGTCAATTGATTGGAAGCGCGTTGACCGGTTGGGATTCGAACCCACGACCCATTTAGTCACACCACGGCCATATTATGCCACCATACCATTGAAGCGATACATGTTTTTTATTAAATCAAGATATTTCTGTTCTATGTAGAGGACACAGAGCGTTACTTTTACCAGGATATAAGAATATACGAAGGTATCCGTTACTCCGTTAGCGCACTGGTATCAAAACTTATGAACTTACCGTTATCAGTTATCAGTTCGCGCGTGCGCCGAAAGGCCTACAATAACAATAATATTTAAGTGTCGTCGGATTTGTGTGTTATTGTATCAAATCCGCTTGGAAATTACCCTGCGTCGCTAACAGTACTGATAATTGATAAGATGGCCTTCAACTTTGGATTGTTTTTTTTTATGGTAAGTTTTACTGCGTACTTACTCAAGCCGCGATGGAAAGCCTTATAGGTCTCTCGGCGAGTTTTAACAACGATAAATTTTTACGCGAGTAGTACACATTTAAGTTTAATACTTTAACAGTTTAAAACGCGGGCGGAACTTAAAAATCATTTTGAAATAAGTTTAACTAATATATCGCGTTTTAATCTATTACAGTGTTTTATTTTAATCGTAAACCAAATACGAAGAAACAGATGGCGTTAACATAGCAATTTCTACTTTGACATTAGGGAACACCCTTTCTTTTCTTCTCACATCTTCAATCCCCCCGTGACCGTGCCCGCTTTTAAAACTGTTAAAAGCACGATAGGTTAGTAATTCACACTATAGTATTGTTTCTTTATGATATACAGGCTTTCTTGCTAAGAGAATGATATCTCGATTTTGGAAGGCCTAGTCCGGCCTGGTATTGTTTATTACAAAATCGATTTTTACTTCTTTAGCACTAGCTGTTGACTCGACTTCGTCCGCATAGTATAGTAATTTTGGGCATCGGAACTTGGTTTTGCAACCTATCCATCTTTATAAATTCTAGCTGTTCCCCACGCCGTCCCCGCGTTCCGTCGTCCTTGCAAGTGAAACTTAAAAGATAGACATATACTGTCGTGGACATTTTTTGAGATCATATTAAGAGCAATAATCCATTCTTCATTCATTATTTTTTGAATATTTTTTGGGTTTAGTAAACCTTATTGATGACGAAAACACACAAAGATTCTCAATTCGAACCAGTAGTTCCTGAGATCAGCGCGTTCATACAAACAAACAAACTCTTCAGCTTTGTGTATTAGAATAGATTGTTTTAATGGAAGGACAGACAAGCTTTACTTGGGCAAAGGTGAATTACTCTAGCCTTCTAACATCTTAAAATTATGCGCCGTCGACCTATTTGACTTTTGGATATTCGGAAATGGAGTCTGAAACCGAACCAAATGGAGTATGATGTTTTATTTAATTTATATTACGTCATAAAATTCTTGACATTGTTATGCGCATACGTCGACAAGTAGGTACATGAATGTTTGATACTATTAAGTAGTAAACTGTAATCTCTGGAGTATAGTGTAATGATATTAACTGATACTGATAAGAGTGTAGTGATAAGCGCATTGTATGTGGTGTCACATTTCAAACTGTTAATTCCGGATCAGGGAATGATAAAATCGAAACTAATCGAAAATAGGTATTTACACAATTCATATTTGCAGACGTCTGTATTCCATCTCCATAGTCCAGCGCCTTCACGTAAGCGCGAGAGATCGTGGGTTCGAATTCCTGGCGAAATAGGCTGGACAAACAGGTCTCAGGAGTGCGTCCTGTGCGTTTTGTCGTAGTAATGATAAATAGAACAGACGGCATCATGTGCCGATCACCACTATGATAAAGGAGGACGGACAAGCCATGTTACTTAACCTATTTTGGCTTTCGATATTCTGACATCAAATTCAAAATTCCCACCAACAATTTAATATCTAGATGGTGGTGTGTATGTCTGTGTGGGTGTAATATTATAGTTTTAAATGCCTTTAAAAGCTTTTTTAAAACCGGGGCGCGAAAGCTTAAAAACATATATACAAGTAAACGATGACGATATATACTGTCTGTAGTTTCTGCGAGTAGTACCTACACATTTAAATGAAACACTTGAAGTGTATTATTCAAATACGACGATATATATCTGCAAGACAGCTAACATACAGTGTCATGCTAGACAAACTTCTGGCAATGTTGTCAGATATTAATAAGAGCGCCCCACCTGTTTGATCGTGTTGTCAACAAAAAACAAAACAATAAATTGTGAAATAGATTAAAAGTTATAATTGCTGATTAGTGACCAGTTATGTTCATGTTTACAATTCACAACGTTTAACTGCAATACAGATATTGCAGATTGCGCGAGTACTACTTACATTTAACGGTTTGAAACGCGAAATATATATTTATAGGAGTCCAATACGTTAACTGAAATATTTCGCGTTTTTAACCGTTAACGGTGATTTAGAAATTGAAACTATGTTCGACTCGCGTTTCATCTTAACGGTGTTTTACTACGTTATATATATACATATTTAATTATATATATTACAATACACATTCATGTGTGGAATTTTATTCAAAAAGATTGTCCATCCAAACCTTGATTTTAAAGCAAATCAATTTAATCTGCTAACTTAACTGTTATTTCAAAGCTAAAAGTTAGTAGGAACATTATCTACACCTAACTATCTCACAGGTTTGATTTGACACTTAGATTTTAACCCATGCCTCTTCTGACTGTGAAACGAAAGACTCTGTCGTCCAGATTTTCTATTTATTCTGTCTATCGTGCTTAGTCGAATTATAAATTGATGTGAGTCTTGTTGGGGATCAAACTTACTTGTTAATGCTATCATTTGAGATACTAAAATATATTAACATTGTCATTTTATTTTATCCTAGAAGCTACAAATGTGCGGATCGGAGGAGGAGATGCGAGAAGTAGCCGGACGTATTTGCCGTAACTACCTCCACGGCGCCTGGAAGACGGTAGACCCGCGTGACCTGCACTTTAGAAGGATCAGGTATATTTTGTCACATGAACCATTTTTTATTTCTGGGACGTTACTGCTTGACTGTCGTATTAAATTACTAAGTAGAGATAAATCGCACTTGCTGTACTGGTCGAGCAGCCAGCAATAGTTGTATGAAATTCAGTGGCGGTTAATATATCTGAGTTTAAAAATATCTAAATGATCTTCTACTCCGCAACATGGGGAAGAGGTAACTTACAATTTTTTTTTTTTTTACTTGAACCGCAACAGCACGGAACGCTGACGATGTCGGTTCAAGTCCTGCCCGATTTATTTTCGACTTTTAAATTGTATAGTGCCATCATGTGCAAAATATTAGTTTTCAAACGGAGAGGTAACTTGTCAAAGATTTAATTTTCGAACTGCATATAGAAAGCTGTTTAGTGAAATACTTATTTACTTATTGTTCGTCATTGGTTTTAAAGTTTTTAATTGTACTACTTAGTTTTAATTACGCGCATTGTTCGAGAAAAGTACCTACTATGCAAGCCTTTAACTGGGGACTTACGTCTGTGTTCCTCAGTTTTGCCTCATCCTAACGTCACACGTTCGTCCATCAATGCCTCTTGCCGGCCGCTGCAGTTCTACTATACTTTTCCAACATCGATAACTTTGCAAAACTTTATCAAAATCTTATCATAAAGTTTCGCTTTTGACAAGCATTGTTCACTTCAGAACCCCCCCCCCCCAACAAGATGCGTTGACCTATGTTGGCTTTGCTTCTTCCGAAATGCGATCGTTCCGTAATTAATGACCTTGGCTAAAGCAGTTGTGTAATACCATTTTCTGTTTAAAGATGAAAGATAACTCCATAATATGAGTTTGCGGTGAACCACATGATGTGCGGTCTCCACAATAATCGATTTACCTGTTATCGCTATGTTTACGTCAGGTCACCGTAGAGAATACAAAAATGTTAAAGTAACGTATTAAAACACGTAAACATCACTAAGCAGCAACTCTTTGGTCGAATGGTCAGTACGCTCGACTGCAGATCACGAGGTCGTGGGTTCGAATCTGTTAGTTCGATATTTGATTTTTTTTTTAATTCTCTGGTGCTCACCTCGAGTTCTCCCAGGAGGTCACATTAATCGATAGCAAGTAAAGCCGTGAGTCATAGTTATGGTTACTAAATTAACGGCGGTTTACGCCAAAGCACTTGTAAATTGAATTATAACCGATTTTTCTACCTTAACATTTGCAAAGACGAAAAGTCGCAATATTTTGCTGGAGTAAGCCTTTTTTTATGCAATTAGCTGACAAAGAACAAACGCTCATTTACCGGTTGAAGTATTTCGTCTAAATTTAATTCCAACGATAAAAATGAAAAAAACTATTCTCGTGCCTTTTAAAAGAAGGCATATATTTGGCATCTAAGACCGTTTTCGCAGCACACGCAACGGAAACCCTCAATGATGAATTCCCTGTTTTTCCACATTTCCCTCTCTTTCTTCGCTTCTAGCGGTCGGAGCGCGATTTTATACCCTAAAGTGTTTCTTGATAAATGGTCTAACCCACACTATTTTTTTTGAAATCTAATTAGTAGTTCCTGCTATTAGCGCGTTCAAACAAACAAACTATATAGTATAGATCATGTATTCAATTGGTTCTGAAATCTTATTATCGATGGTTACCTATCGACTTATAAGGATTAAATAATTACACTCTTACGTCTTAGCCCCCGTTACCTGTCAAACCGGACACCGCGAGTTCGACTCATGCGCAAATAAACAACATTGTTTGTAAATAAAGTGGAGACGTGTTCGCTTGTATGGCCTTGGGGAATCGCGTCGCAACGCTTTTGCGCTAACAATATCGCGGTTATTATTAACTGGATCAATATTTTATGTTTTGCGACGGGATTTTAAGATACTACGATCGAAGTTTAAATTTGATACGATAAATTACACTTCGAAACGAGTAAATAGAGCGTTGGCTCTTTCCCCACACCCTCGCAAAATAAAACACATTTTGATAACTTTGACAATTTTCTCGTAAGGATATTTAACTTATTAAGTCAAACACACGTGGGAATTGACAATATAACAGATGATAATATTAAAGAATTAACGATAGAACAAATATTCAGGTTCTACTGAGGCAGAAGATTTGAAGGATATTTGGATAACCCGATGTCCTCTGCATAAGGGGAAAATGGGTGAAATGGTTAGCAGATAAGGTGGATTTATCAACCGACTATCTATGTGTATAGAAAATAATAATAACTTTAAAAAAAAGATAGAAAAAATCATTTACAAGTATTACGATGCCGAAATAGAGCTAATAAGAAAATATTGCCACAAGCAGTCACCTTATATTTTTTACATCAATAGTAGATAACTAAGTTTTAGTTTATCTTAGAACGTAAATCAGATTTTTTTTTTAAATAACGCCAAGTGTTCCGCGAAACTCAATTAAAAATAAACACGAAGATGTTTTGCGATGTACGGTACGAAGTAATGGCTGTTTTTATTAGTTTCTTCGAGAATAGGCCATTACCGTTTTGTCGTGTATAAAGGAAATATTATTTGTCCTTGAACGAGCGAACATTTTGTGGTATAAAACACGAGCGACGTCGAATGTATGTTACTTAATTTAAAAGCGATCGCGATCGCTCTTGTGCATAGAATTAAAGCAGATCTAGTTATTTTCTAATTGGATGGATGTTAATTGTAGCCTAAAACTAATTAAAGAATTTTCACTTTAATTATTGTTTTTACGGGTAAGTGGCTACCTTTTAAGCGCGGTATTTTCGTATGCATACTATACGTCAAACATATGACATTAATTTTATACGATATAACTTTCTTATAATGCAAAAAATTTAAACAGTTGGTAATTAAATATAATAGGATGTCTTCAGTTAATCACAAAATCAGTTAATCGAAAAATACATTTTATAGTTACTTAAGTAGATTTGACAGAAATAGTGCAGTTCTTAAAAATAGATCTAATATTGAATGAGTGGCGGCAATCTTCCTTATCATTTCATAGTCAAAATAGAAATATTGCTATATATATTCAATTGTCTAAATAGATTTTTCTAGTTATAGTAAGAAATCCCTGATAATTTGGCAAAGGGAAGTTTCTGGCAATTATAAAGTTAAGATTTTGCGTTTACTTTCAAAAAAGAACACTAATGTTTTTCAAATGACAGGTAACGAGATTCTACTGCATTTACAATTTGAACGATATCTTTTTTCTTTCCTAATTGTTTTTTAAAATGCTATCGAAATCATAATCATCCTATACTATCACAGGTGGTGTGATGGGTGTTTTTGTCGTACGATACTATCTCCAATGTTGTCATGTTCATATCGCCTGACGTAGTTTTGAACAGTGGTGTTCTCATGCTTTCATCTATCCGGATTTAACTGACGGACTTGTGATATTTGGAACTTGTATCATAACTATTAACACATTTGTATGATTCTATTTGAACTAGCGTAATCTTACGCCTTGTACCAAGCGCTAAGAAGTGCAAAGAGTACGGGAAGGTGTGACCATCAAATCGACTACTGTCCGAGATAATTTTAATCAAATTAAAAAATTAACTATTAACAACAGAACTAAAACTTCGAGTTACAATCTGTTACAGAGCCTATACCATTATAGCATATGTTCATCCTAAAAATGTATTTTTACTTATTCCACGGGAAGACACAAAATTGCGTCTGTTTCACTTCTCAGTTTACTTTATACTGTGACCTGTTCGACTGGAACTAGTTGTTATGTTCTGTCTGTAGTTTCCGCGTGTAGTTTACAAATAAAACTATTTAACGGCTTAAAACGCGAAATGTTTTAGATAAAGCTACGTAGTACATAATGCTACGTATTGGATCGTTAGGGACACTCGATCTTCATCTCCCCCACCAGAGATGCTGCAAAGCATTCGAAACGTTGGACCTTAGTTTTTTTTGTTGTTTGGAGTTTTATGTTTCACGTTTTAAACCGTTATATGTGTTTTATTTAAAGCTGTGTTAAGTTTTTCCAGGATCCAAACGTAGTAGATCAATGGATTTACATTCGGACTATCAGTCACGACTCTCATTCTAAATTCGAATAAGACAAAAGTTGAGTTTTCCTTATGTTCGCGACATAATTATCGCTACGTAAAATGTCGTATAATGAGTTTTCCGTTTTCTTCACGTCACAAAGTACGAACTTAGGCGTCACTTAGTCGACCTTAACGCCAATTTCAGGTAAAGTCAAGGCTAGACAAACTAATGTTGATCGCTACATTTCCACTTACTTCTTCTTATGGTTCTTTTATTTATTTTAATGAGAAATTTTTTTATCTGCAATTAGCACCGAATTCTTCTTCTTTTGTTTAACTCAGACAAAAAAGTATCAAAGGCAAGTGGTTAAACTTCGGATTAACTGAATGGTTAGGTTGAAGATTTTTTTTATTCTATATCTTTATCTTGATGTTTATATTCTCCCTCTATTAAGGCTTCTCTATAAATGCTCTACCTACACAAAAATAATTTTTCAATTCGAATCCGCACTTCCTGAGATTAGCGCGTTCAAACATACAAACAAACTCTTCTTCAGCTTTATATATTAGTATAGATTAAACGCTGAAACAATTGACGTTAACATAGAAAATTTGACTCTTGTAAACTATAGACAGATACTGTCTATAGCTTACGCGAGTAGTACACATTTAAATAAAACACTAACGGTTTAAAACGCGATATATATTTTAAATAGAGTCTCCCCGTGACCACGGCTGCTGCAAAGCATCCGAAACGTCGGGCCGAAGTTAAAAATCATTTTCAAATAAGTTTAACGAATATATCGCGTTTTAAACCGTTAAAGTGTTTTTATTTAAACTATAGACAGTATCAGTATGAACATAATGTTACGTTAGATGGAGTTTTTTTTTAATTATACAACGCTGGGCGTGTCATCTTGTAAATGATATAAAACAGTACAATACTCACAGAGTTTGTAATTAATCACAGCAAGTATCACGAATCTGCAATTGGTATGACATTGTGGGGGACAATTAAAAAAAATTGAATACATCTTTTATCTTTTTTCACATCTTGAATACTGTGATGTGTGTACACCATTTTTATTGCTGACATAATTGCATATCGCTTGTATAATAACAATAAAATGAAAATAATATATGATATTTAAAAAAAGTTTTTGTTCTTGTTGGATCTTATTTCAGCGATTTCGAATGTACTTTAAATTCAATTTCGTAAAATTATATCGAAAATTCTTAAGACTGAGGCGCGACTTAAACCCGTGAAATACGAAGGTACCGTGTTTTTGAGCTAACGTGTGCAGTAGTGTACACATGTACTTCACGCGCAATTTAATTTAACCCTTTTTTAACGTAATTGGTCGTGGCTTTTTTTATCAAGAAAAACTTTTAGTTTATAATAAAAAGCTTTCAACCAATATAAGTTATTTAAATTTATACTTGAAAACAATAATTGTGAGAACTATTAGGGAGTTTGTTCACCATTTAGTCAGAAATACGTTCGTTACTCTGTCAAATGCAAACATATTAATTGTATTTTCAGATATTAAGGTACATTTTAAATAATAAATAAATGCACTTTGTAATCACGCAAGAAGTCTTTGGCCCGTTTGTGGCCTGAAATGGTCATTCTCAAACTTAGTAAGGCTACGTCAGTTGATGTTTATTTCACCGAGTATGATCGTATATCTTTTTGAAAATAGAATGCCTTATACTTAGTTTGAGTTTTCCCACTTCCAAATTTAAATAACTGAATGTCTTAGTATTTTTTTGAGGTTTTCACAGATTAACAAAAACTTTACTTTGTCTTCTTTTTCGTTACTTTATTACTTCTAAAAGAAGTATCCTTAATAACGCTGTCAATAAATAAGTTTTCGTTTAACAAACGATTTACGTTTGTTAAACAAAAGCTGCTTGGAAAGGGTTATTATAACGTAAATGAATATTTAAATGATAAAAATGCTTGGGCTATGGAGGAACCCGCTCTATCAAGGAAGAAATGTACACAATGAGTGCGTAAGGAATATAAGGAAATGTAATAGAAACTTGGCAGTTAAAAGGAGTGGCGGCGAGTTTCTTGCCAGTTCTTCTCGTTCGTTCTACACCCTAACTTGGGAACTGGTAGTAACTGTAACTGTAAATTTAGAGTTTTAAATTTCTACCTGTTTTGACGTTCATAAGTGTACTAAGCTAACTACATTAATAAATTATTTTTGATTTGAATAACTATTTCAGACCGTCGCGTTGTTTGTTAGACAGCGAAAAATGCCTAATTGTTTTTACATAAAGCTATTAGTTAATAGTTCTCGTAATTCTAATGATAAGTATGATTACTGAACGAACTGTTATCAACTGTAGGTAGTTTTCCGATGCCCTACATAGCTGCCTGCGTCTCAGAATTGTGATTGAATAAATATATAGTCTTATCTACATCACTTGAGTATTTCTCGTAATTTTCAAATGTACAACGCAGTACTATGACGCCGTTACCCGTTAGGACTTTAGCAAAAAGTCTATCGAATGAGAGAGAATAATTAGTCTGGCTTAGAAACTCTTCCATGATTTTGCATTAGCTATGATTATATATCTATTATCTGTGATTTTTGGCATCGTCGTTGCTCTACCAATTAAGCTACCCAGTCCTACACCTCGTCGTCGAATAGTTTCAACTTATTGATATATGCACCTCTCGCGCAACAGCACAGAACGCTGACGATGCCGATGCAAATCCTGCCCGAGGCGAAAATTTTTTCAATTTATTTTCGATTTTTAAATTATAAAGTGCCTTGATTTGCAATGTGAGAAATATTAAAGCTTTTAATTCGAATTAGTTCGTGTAACGGTTGCAATGTATAGCTGTTGTAGGTAACAACGGGTCGTGTATTCCATCCCCACCGGGCTCAACATTTAATCGGTGTTAAACCGTAATTCCGTCTGGGTTACGACCCACCGTCCAAAGATGAAAAGGCTGTTAGGTGTAATGGCGCTTCGGTTTCATCCAAAGGTAAAATAGGTCGTCATATTTTAGCCATACTTGTCTGTCTTCCTCTATAAAAAAATGTCGTAATAACCACTTAAAAAGGCAGTTGCACTCAAATATGACGTATTCACTACAATTAAATATATGTCATAGCTATTCTAAGAATGCAATACAGTTCGTTTACTACATATTTGGGTAGAAAACTTAGTTACATGTCATTATTAACGGCATATTTTGTATCGCGTGATTTATATCGAGGACAGCGGCTACTGTGCGTCACCTACCTTCAACGATCAATCTTTTTAACAGCACTTTAACGGTTTAAAACGCGATATGTATCAGTTAAACTTATTTGATAACTATTTTACCTACGTTTGGGTGCTTTGCTGCAGACGTTGTCTTCCCGTGACGACGGCCAAGACTATATATATCGCGTTTTAAACAGTCAAAGTGTTTTATTTGAATGTGTACAATTCGCGTAAACTACAGACACTATTTAACAATCCGTCTTATCATTATTATTATACTAAGTCCAGATGTTATTGTTCCAGTGGCGGTTTATCCAACTTTCTCTACTATGTGGCGCTGCCATCAGATGTAGCTCGCCTTGGTGGTTACCAGCGAGATGTGTCACCAGAGACAGAGCAAGATATGAGGCTGAAAAAACAGCTCAGCGCCCACTCTTTCTCGCTGGACGAGCCGAAGAAGGTTAGAATCTTTTCGCCGAAATTAGTATCTATACTAGTATTATAGAAAAGAGTTTGTTTGAACGCGATAATCTCAGGAAGTATGGGTTCGAATCGAAAAACCAAAACCATCGGGTCTGCGACCAAAAAGATCTAAGTAACAGAACCCGATAGTTTATAGTCTTAACTGTAAAGCCTTCCACGATGAATGGTATAACCAACACAAAAAGATTTTTTCAATTCGAACCAGTAGTTCCCGATGTTAGCGCCTTCAAACAAACAAACTGCAGTGTTATAATTTTAGTATAGATATTGTAAGTTTCTAGTTGACGTAGTTAGTAGTAGTTTAAAGTCTTGCTTGACCCCAAATTTATTTATCATGGTACCGTGGTAACAGAAAGAAAAAAAAGTTAATTTTCGTTCCATTCCCTAGGTCCTATTGCGTATCTATGGTCAAGTTCACGGTGAACGCGCAATGGACGCAATTGTCACAGAGTCTGTCATATTCACACTGCTATCGGAGCGACGACTGGGACCGAAGTTGCATGGAGTTTTTTCTGGTGGAAGAATTGAAGAGTACATACCGGTACGTTTTTCCTCATATCTATGTGAGTAAATGAAGTCTATTTTCGCCCAGTGGGACATGGATCCAACACATTTCTGTGATCGGATCTTTTGCAGGTAACTTCTATGCATTACTCGGCCGACAGAATCTTTTGTTTACCCGGGTTCAAACCCAGGATCTCGCACGCTCAACGCAATACTGGGAAATACGTATAACCATTCGGATACAGAGGCAGTAAAATGTTGTTTTTATAGCCATTTAGTAAATAAGAGTCAAATTAAACCTTAACGCGAATTATCTTAGGTAAATTTATTTTAGACTTACAGTGTCCGCGACTAGTGTACGTATCCGAAACGGCAAGCAGTAGATAACAAATTAAAAATAAGTTAATATTTCTCGTTTTAAACCGTTAAATGTTTTATTTAAAGATGTACCACTCGCGTAAACTATAGACAATGATCCCTTTCAACTAACAGGCACGCTCTCTATTCACAAAAGAGCTATCCGAGCCAGCCTTGTCTATGAAAATAGCAGAGAAAATGGCTGCCATTCATTCCATGGAGGTGCCTCTGTCGAAGGAACCCAACTGGCTGTGGAAGACGATGGGCAAGTGGTTGAGGACCGCGCGGGAGGAACGGCTCGCCGCTACAGAATTGGTAAGTGACGTTTAAGGAACTAGGATAGTAGAAATTGTGCAAAGGTCTGTTAGGTCTTCTTAGGGTATTCAGAGCGTTTATAGGGGTTTTCTTACAATATTGTTGTGAGTGTAACCTATTGACTGTATGAATGTTTATTGTCCAACTTTATTATATAGGTATATTACTAGAATATAAATAGTCCTAGGGAATTAATGTTAAAAGGATATACATATACTGGCGGGCAGGTTTTTAGATCTTTTAAAGAGGAATCATACATATTTTTTGGTTTCTTGAACTGTTTTCGAAGCGCACGCATCGAAAGCCCTCAAACATGAATAATTTTCCCGTTTCTTCCACATTTTCTTTTTATTATTGCTTTAAGTAGTCCTTCCTCGATAAATGGTCCCGCCAATATCAAAATATTTTTCAATTGAAAGTCCTTCAGCTCTCTCAAACTCATCAGCTTTATGTGAAATTATCTCGCTTGTCTTAGATCGACCTTTAAAGGGACCTCAGAATATCAGTGTTTGGAACATTAGTCCCAACAACGTAGCTGAGTGGACTCCTTTTCGGACGCAACAATTTTTCATTATTTTATATGTACTTAGTAAATTAAAATGTATTTGTAATTTTTTGTATATTGTTTTTGTGTTGTTTTCGAAAAATTTTCTGTTTTATTCTATTCTGTTATTATTTACCGATTCTTATTATGTGTCAATTACAGAAAGGCGAAGAGCGGAAAATAATGGAGAGGCTACGAATGGTGGACTGGGAGGCAGAAATCGAATGGGTCAAGAAACTCACGACCACCGTCAACTCGCCAGTAGTTTTCTGCCACAACGACATGCAGGAGGGTAACATTCTGCTGCTAGAAGAGAACGGGACAGAGAGCGCGATAGAGGGAGACGAAGCATCGGGCGTGTTCCTCCGGGCGGCCAGTGACGAGGAAAGCAGCGACTCAGCTGCTTCGGGTCTTTCAGACCCTGATCCGGCGCTGGGCGAACCCCGTCTGATGCTTATCGACTTCGAGTACTGCGCGTATAACTATCGCGCGTTCGACATTTCCAATCATTTTCAGGTTAGTCTCAAGTTTTTGAAATTTTGTCTAAGTAGGGAGGGGAAAGGGCCAAATTTTAAGAAAGTGTTTTAAATTTACCTTTGTGGTTATTTATTTCGATAAAAATATATTTATTATAATCCTTTGAAATACTTAATTCTGTTTTAATATTGTTTGACAGTAAAACTTAATTATATCGTCAGTGTTGATTTTAATATATATGCTTAAAACGAAAAAAATAATGAACCAGTTTAGCGTCAAACGTTAAAACAATGGTATAATAAAATATTTAAATGCCGTCTAAATAATAATGCGCAACATATCACGTTTATGATCTGGTCATCGTATACATATTTGTATACGACGACTCGGTTTGACTAAATCCAATTTAGATTTTAATTTTGTGACATTATTTCTTATCACCTATTTAAAATCTATTAGGTGTGTATAATTGCAAGTACTAGGATATAAGAAATATCAGGTGATGTCATAAGTATATTGTTGTATACAGGAATGGAGTTATGACTACACGAATCCACAGCGCCCCTTCTACTACGAGTTTCCCGACCAGGAACCTACGCTTGAGCAAAAGGTAAAAATATATATATAACAGATTTAAACTATATTACAACCATATTGTTTTAAATCTTGTTCAGCTTAACTCCTAAAAGATTCTGAAATCATAAGAATTCATCTCATTTTTATTTGCGTAGTTATAAAAACCATTACTTTTCTATCATAAGAGGTGCAGAATTGTGGGAGATTTTGGTTTAGATCTGGTAACCCAGCGTTAGTGTTGCCACCATTACGCCGCTTGTGTGTGTTCTGGTTCTTTTTAGTGCTCGCTGTAAAGATGCGGGTAGATATGGCACTGGGAACACGTTGACTTCCGGACACGAGTCCCGCCGCGGTACAACGCCTAGCTAGCTACTGGCCTAGCACTGCGCTAACACTGCGCATCAAGTAAATGTACCAAAGACTTCAGTGACGTATTTTCTAGGGCTCCGCCTACTATACCGTAACGTACAAATATGTTCTTACTGTATCCGTAAATAACATTTATATATGATTAGTTCTAGTTGATCCAAAATTATGTTATTTAAAACTTGAAAAGCATAAAGAAGTTTGAAAAATGAATAAATAGTGGTTTGTACGGTGCGGCAAAGTGGGCGGACCCGTAAAGTTTTTCAGCGTAGCTTGTCGATTTGTCGATATTTTGATCATAACTAAAAACCAATATTTTAAAATAAGAATTCTATTCGACAAATCTACTTGTTACACCCAGTTTAGGCGCGAACCATTTTTCATTTACCGTGAATGACGTGTACAATTCTACAGTATAGATAATAGTTATTTTTCAATAATACCCTCAATGTATCATAAATTCGGGGAACAATTTCTACTTCAACGATAAGAAAAAAGTGAGTCACGATAAGACAATTGAGAATAACTATGTGTAAATCTATTATATAATTAAGAAATTCATTTACCAAAATTCTTCACTCTTTAATAATGCCAACATAAGGGCAGATAACACAAGTCGTATTTTTGGTTCTAGAATTTTGTCGTGATGATCCCTCAGTCTTTGTTGCATAATCGTTGTCGAACTCCCGACCTCATAAACGGAAGTCGAGTGTAGGGTTACAGATGCCCATGGATTTCAAAAATGTCCAAAAATATAGAACTATTAAAAACGTCAAAAAATGTATTTTAAACAATTACAGTTACGAATGTCGTTTGAATTTATTTTTTATACAAAGGTTTAAGGATATTAAACCTTTGTATGCAGCACTTAAGTCTTCATTGTCTTAACAACACACTAAGCAGTGTGATATATTTGCTTATAGCTAAATATCTAAATGGGTTATGATTTTCTCAGGAGATCTTCATAAAGGAGTACTTGAAACATTGGAGAAACGCAGGCTGGGCGGCTCGTGGTAGTGCGGCCAGTGCCGATGTTTGCGACACACCCTCCATCGATGATGTGAACCAGCTGCTCAATGAAGTAGATGCCTTCCAACCAGTCTGTGACCTCTTCTGGACTCTCTGGTCTATCGTCAACGCGTCTAAAAGCCAGATTCCCTTTGGGTACTGGGTAAGTTTAATATTATTCATATTACGTAGAATATGAAGCATTTATGTTTTAATTTAGCTAATAGGTTAGAATTTGTTTAAAAATTAAAGTCTATGGGGGTACTTTTCACGTTTAAGTTACCCAGGTAACCAATGTTGTTAATTCGATCATTAATGTAAGTAATGAAATGTAGAGGTCCTAGAATGCTTCCCTAAAACATGCAAATAATTTACAGGAGTTTGCGTTATCGAGACTGGAGACATACCAGCGGTTAAAACAAGAACTAATAAAGAAAGAGAAATGCGGCTTCCCGCAGAAACGTAAGATCTGTGAAGTAGACATATGAGGAGCGGCGGCCGAACACACGGCACGCTAACGTAGTGCTACTCTGCTGGATCCGTCGTTATCTGCGCAGCCGGCCGTGACTCTACTGTGAGTTGTGATATACACTGTGTGTGATATCGAGCGTAAGCCTTACTACCTTGTCTGATTACGTTACTATGACTCAATTAAATTGTTAAGTGTATTCAAACCTTTTTGACACATAATGCTCGAATATTGGGCCGTATTTTCCATATTTAGCCTTTCCTTGTACATGCCAATGTAAAATCCTATATGATTATAATTGTTGTACTCATTGTATAAAATTAAGCATATGCGCGTGCTTTGTTTCTTCGTATGTTTTCGTTCATAAAATGCAAGATGTCGACAAAGATATATACTATACAAATTATATTTTATCTCCACACAAAGAAGACATGTCACATCAATAAAAAAGACTGAAATTACAAGATTTGTATTAATAATTCCCTCTAACTGTACTTTATAATAGTCATTGAACAAAATCCTTATTACAATCCAAATATAACTGGTTTATTAGGGTCTAATCTCTTGCGAGATTGTCATTCATTGCTGTATGTTTTATAACTTTGTCGCCATTTTGTACAACATTGTAATTTTGTATTATCGTTTAACGTCTGTATATTTATGTACAAAGAACTATTTCAAGGTATCTTTTCATATCACTATTGAAAGAAAAAAAATATAGTCGATTTAATTTTACAAAAAATGAACTTTTAAATAATGCTGCGAAAAAGCGAATAAGAATAATACGTGGTTTTATTGTACAAATAATTGAAAATTTTCTCTGATACATAATTTTGTGACGTCACCGTCAATGTTCCAGCCGCACAAAAGTCCTTTCTCATCGGTGACGATCGCAAATTCGATAATGCGATAGAGAATAAAAAGTGTATGTTTTTAATACATCCATAAAACATATCTACAAAGATATGATGAAATTAGTGACTTCTCAATTTTATGGAGAAAATGTGACGAAAGCGACTTACGTTTGGCTGTAAATAGTTTATTTGTAAATTGTGTTGTTTTAGTGATAAAGTCTCTTGTATGGATTATATTTTATGCTATGTTTAATTCGTCACAATGTTTGTAGTTAGGCTGTATATTCAACGGATGGGTTGAAGCGTGGATGACTGACAACGGTGCCCTGCAATCAACTATGCCCGTGAACAGCTTGTTTTGTCTCTTTCATTCCAATTAAAAATTGCATTTACGCGACAGAGACGAAAGGCTATATGAAAATATGCTCCTTAACAACCGTCCTAGGGGTTACAAAGGAAGAGCGTCAGCGAAGCTAGACCGCCATAACACGTTACGTAACGACGCTACTATCCATAAACAAGCAAGTACCCACAAAGACCTACTTCTTAAATTGCTTTTTATCCCGTAATAGTTTTTAGTAGGGCACCCAAACCTACAATAAATCGTCATTTATCTGCCCCTGATGTGATACTGTAACGCGGATAGGGTCCAACATAATTGTATTGGATTTAGCTCGAATATATAATACAGTTAGGACAAGTTGAATTTGATGTTATCGCGAATTTGAGAAATGTTTAAATGAAAAGATGATATTTTGGATCACTCTCGAGTATCCAACATATGACATTAAGGATATAGTTACACCATGTTCTATTTCTTTCGAGAGAATTCTAAACAACGCTTGCTACTTGGCGCTTTTCAAAATTCCTAAATTCATTTAATCGCCTTTACAACGCGTGGTAAGTGAACCATTATTTCAAATCATCTTTCGGATTCGGATACATACTTCGTTAAAGGTATTTAGGATTCATCAAACTTACGAAACTTGGCTTACTTATGACAGCATTTTTTTTGTGACGGCAACAGTGAGACAACGCATTTAGTCATCAAGATCTTATTCGGATAAAATCGGCAGCTTGCGTTCGTTGTCTGTTATTAAATTAAACTACTCACTTGGAATTATTCTACTGTCGCTATTTACACAAGATCCAATTCAAGTAACTACTGTCTCTGGTTATATTCTGGTTTGTATGTTGTACAACTGCGGGTAGTTCTCTCAGAAATACCGGGCAATACTACAAACAGTCAAACACGCGTCTGTACTAATGACATTTCAAAGTATTGCAGTGTAACACCGCGTATGTTATTGTAGATATTTATTATTTATTGATCCTTGTATAACTGATGCTATAAATTTATCCTTAGTTAATTATCGTACCTAAGCAACGCGTATTTAGATTTTCAAAGTTTGTGATTTTATATGACTTATATTTGTTTAGTTAAGATACGAAATACTCTGCTGATTAGGGAGAAATTCGAGTTTTATTAGTGTAGACGTATCGTAAAATACTTAACGAAGTACTTATGATCGTGATACTTACATGATACTTATGTATACATTCATCGTTAAATATACTTTTATTAAATTAATAAAAAGCGTAAAATATATTTATTTTTAATGATATTATTTTAATGCTTGACAAATCATGTATCTACGAATTGTTGGAGCGCAAACATATGCAAATGTGTGTAAATTAACAAGTTATGTTATTTAGAAGGGTTTAAGTGAGTTCTCTATCAGTAAGATTCGGAAGTTATTTGAAATCAAACCTTTATAGCTATATGTTCCTAGCCTGTATTATCTCAATTCTGTTGTAAATAGGACTATATTTGAGACGCAAAATATAAATAAAAACATTCCATGTAATTTTGCTTAAGAAAATGTAGAACATTTTTCATTGCGTGGTCATCAATTTCGGATATAGTTCTTTTGCAAGTTGGCAATAACTGAGTTAGTGTTTGAAAAAGTGATTGTAATATGTAACTTGGAGTACTTATCAAGTTTGTGATATGAGATGTGCGCGCGAGCGAGACAGATGTACACTTTTGTAGTCATGAAATTTAATAAATTGTTTTAAATTATACTTTGTTATATATCAATACTGTCACGATCATTAAAAAATATACCTACTGGCTATCTAAGGCTTATTAACAGTGGTTGGTTGTAACGAACCTGATACACTTCTTCAGTGTTCCCCCAAAAATAGTAGCCTCAAATAACTATGATTGTGCCTAACTATCGAAAATTTTAGTTAAAAAACACCTGCATTCTATCCGAAATTTGGGGGCAGACCCCTTCGTTGTCATCAGTACTGGTAATAAAAAACAGATACATAATTGTGTCTGCCAAGGGACAAATGGTTTCATAAATTCTTGGCTTGGGTTCCTATTACAAGGTAAAGTAACAAGGAAATATTTTTACTAATGCCACCGATCTCATAAGTTTCGTACCAGGAAAAAAACCATCACACACACACACAGTTTTCGAGTACGAGAATTTAATTTTCTTGGACGTTAAAAACTCCTGTAATCTGCGCGTGCGCCGAATTGGGCGTGGCATACTATAAAAATAAAATATCCATGAATATAGCTATCTTTTATTTACATATATAAAACTAAAAACCATATTTAAATTAATTTCAATATAATATAATCTACAATGAAAACTATACAATTTTCACAATAAACATTAATATGTAGGGAAGATTTGACTACACTCCAATTGATAAAAAAATTCTCAGTTTTTTTATTTTTAAATGAAACCAGTCTTATAATTTATCTTTAAATAGGGAACGAAAAGAATATTGCAAACCCATAAATAATACTCTTTAAAAATCGTTCTTATAAAATCTGCAAAATATCTTTAGTATATCTGTTACAAGTGCAACGACAAATAAACACGTTTTTATTTTCAAGCACATATAGTACAATATATAAAATCTAGGTAACCTTAAGTTACTAGCATTAAGTATAATATGTGAAGTATTCTTAAAAGAATGCTACAATACAAGGCTGTTGTTTTCTAGTAGTTGCCACTAAAATTAAGGGTTCGATACTCAAATGGTAAAACGGGACCCTGGTACTAAGCCCTCTGTATCTCATAACCTGTGATAGACACTTGATGTTTCACATATGTTTTTCTATTCTGGCTATAACTACATCACGATTTTGCTGCTTTATAGATCGTGCGCGAGTCAAACTCGCACTAGATTTTCTTTTCTTTCATTTAAAAATAGATTTATCATCACTGTTGCTCCGTTAACGAGTAAGACTCATTAATATCTTTGTACTGATTGATGAGCTCCGGTAACGGTACCTTTAGAGACTCAATCTTATCATCACTGACAATAGTGACATCTTTCTTTTGATCACAATGGTAGCGCCTCACGTGAACATCCAGCAGTGACCTTCTAACCGAGCTGTACTTGCAATGAGTGCATTTAAAAGGTTTATTCCCGGTATGAATGGCTTCATGGCACAACAGACTCTCCTTCCGAGCAGCTACATACTCGCAGTAACTACACTTCAACCCTTTACCCATATGTAACACTGTATAATGCTTCTGTAGATCATACTTTTGCTTGCAAGTGTACGAACATATGTTACACTTGTATGAATAGTGGCTCTTTTGATGCATCACGTATTGACACTTATAGAAGGTTGTAAATTCACACATGGGGCAGTACTGCAGCTTGTCGGACTTGCTCCTTTTGTTGTGAAGTGCAATTTGGTCTTTAGTCTTAGTGGAGAAGTCACAATTGCAGCATTTGTATGGTCTGTTGTGGCTACCTGTGTGATGGCGTTGGAAGTGCCTTTGAACTGCTGCTTTGAATTTTGAAGTGTAACTGCACATTAGGCACATGAAGGGCCGTTCTTTGTCCTCTGACTCTAACACTTGAATGCTGTTCCAATCGAGGCAGTTTGGATCTACTACATACTGCTCACGGTGTGATTCTTCTTCGGGAAATGGAATGGACTCTCTTAAAGGTGGCGGGACCACATCTTTCTGCTCCCCCTTATTGCCGTATATTTCACTGAAGTGGGTCTCCCTATGTTTTTTATGTTCACACATATATTGCGTTGTGAAATCACAGTGCTCACATTTCAAAGTATGTGCCTGTCGACTTCTACCCTTGTGTGTGTTGAGTCGCCACCGAACCTTAGTTGAAAAATCGCACATATCGCACCGGAATGCCCCAACGGAGACCTCATTATGGATCTTAGCTAGATGTCGCGTTATGTGGCCCTCATATTTTGTGACAAAGGGGCATTTATCGCACTTGAAGAACATCCCTTCATTGTGACTCTTGCTGTGTTTGAATAGATTGTGTCTGTAAGCAGTCCGATAGTCACACTTAGTGCATTTGTGTTGTTTTTCAAGTTTATGCTTCCTTACATGTACGTTTAAATTCCACCTGTAATACGTGACATATTCGCAGTTTTCAAAATCACACTTGTAAACGGTCAGCTTATTGGTTTCTTCTGGTGAGGTGGCATGTTGTACTTTGCAGTGCCTATTTAGCGAATTAGGGTACTTGGTGCTGTAGTCACACTGGTCGCATGTAAGCAATTTATTCTCATGACCCACTATGTGATACTTTAGACAGTTTTTATGAATAGTTGTGTAATCACAGGTTGCACATTTAAGTAATTCTTTATTCTTCTTTTGCGACTTCTTTTTTCTGAAATTGTGATATTTGTATTAAATATTATTAAGTTGAAATTTATGTAGCATATTTAATTTAGAATGTTGTACAATAAGGAGGTAAATTAATCATATAAGAAAATAAGAGAAAGAACCGTTTACAAACATGTGTTGTATGTAGCATGAAATTATAAATTTACCTAGTTTTTGGGGGTGATGGTGGCGATGGTGGTGAAGGAGGAGACATTGATGGGGATGAAGGAGAAGGTTGTCCAGATTCAGATTCCACTTCCACCTTGACCCAGACACTCGCAAACATGTTTGTTACATCACCAGGTCCAGGTTCTTCAGTTGCAATAGATTCATCCTTTGCAGATTCAGACATAGTCACTGAAATTAGATTACTACATTATATATATTTGGTTATATTAAAAACTCATTTCAATAAATTCTTAAGAGTCAACTTTCAAAGATTTTATCTACTTCTTTCATACTTTGCTTTGAACATGGCATGATTAGAATTACCCGAAAGAATTACTGTACTCATTAAATTAACAGTTTACACAATAGAGAAATATATTTTGTTTACTGTGCTAAATTATCAAAATGACATTAGTACTTAATAAGATCATGTTTAAAGTTGAGATACTGTAAAATCTGTGTTATCTCATATTTTTAATGTATTTTATTGTGTTTAAGCTTAAGTGAAAATTTATTGTGTAAATATTGTAACTTATTTTTAATAAAAGTATCACATAACACAAATATCTTGTGTGTTTCTCAACAAAATCATTTACAAAATAAATTTGAAGAGAGTTATATTTATAAGTTACAGGATATTATTTGAAGAATGTCTGATGAGCAAAACATAAATAAACTTCATCATCATATATCTAGATTTCCCTTTTGTATGTGTATGTATATGAAACGTTGGTAAAATACTTTACAACTTTCAACAAATATGACCGAAAATGCGTAATTGATGTTATTCAAAGTATAAATAAATACTTTCAGAAATTGACTAACACAAAACACTTGTAAACTAGTTCAATACCTTGCAATATTGTTTTTTTTCTCTAAGTATTGCTTTCAAAGAAAAGTAATTCACATTTTGTAGTTGTCACTTCTATAATACAAGCATGAAATCCTTCGTTTACAAAACAGTGAGAAATTAGAATTACATTATTAGAACTCGGCTTACACATTAAGAAAAAAAAATCAATTTTCTTTGTAGACAATAAACAGTGCAGATTATCTAGTCCTTTTAAATCTTACATTCACAGATATGTAAACTTTTCATTCATACTTTCTCTGTGGTTACAAATGACATTGACAGATGACAGCACATGTGACATTTAATACAATATAATTCACTTGGTTTACTCTGTGAGTGTTATTTAGTGATAATTAAAGGGGTGTTGTAGTTACACTATTTGCGGTATTTTATAAATAAAACTTTCTCAAGCCAAACAATGTCTGGACACAATGTAAATGTTTGTGATATTGGAGACGACGTGAAAGAGAAGTTAAAAAAGTTTCGCTTTCAAAAACACACATCCAATAGCGCTTTGATTTTAAAGGTAAATTGTTATTTCATTTATATAGTTTATTCAGATGGAAGTTTACGTTATGTACCTATATATGTATATTCATATATTTAACTAAATGCTGTGAACAAAATCACCTACTGTCTAGTAATCATGAAATTCTATTACATTAGCAAAATTGTTTATGAATTTAGGTTTTTTTCTATTTACAGCTATGAATCATAATTAGCGGCCTGTTATCATTCACTTCCCTATCAACACTACAACAGCGTACGTTTAATTAAAAAATGTCTTATCGAATCCGGTGTTATTTATTATCATCAATTTACAGGTTAATCGTGAAAAGCAAGCTTTAGAAGTTGACGAAGAACTGGAAAGTATAGAGCTGGAAGAACTACAGGATATTCTGCCCTCTCATCAACCAAGATTTATTGTCTACAGGTAATCTTTACAGATGGCCATATATATTATAAGCCATATATTATATATTGCTTAAATATTGTCTGTAGTTAACACAAGTACACAGTTTAATAACACTTTTAATAATTTAATATATGAAATATATAGCTTATTTCTAATTTATTATGACTACAATGTTTTTTGCCACCGTAAAATGGCAAAAAAATCTAAAATGTTTAAATGTAAATTTAAACATGTTGTTTCATTTAACCATAGCATCGTATTTATTATAAAAGAATCTGAGCTTAGATACCATTAAAACGTAAGAGTTTGGGTTCAGTAGATTACAAAAGATGGCTCTGATGTTTCTTATTAATAAAATCAATCACCTAAATAGATAAATAATACAGAAACCTTTTTCAATTTCTGTTACAGTTACAAATTGGAGCATAGTGATGGTCGAGTTTCATTTCCAATGTGTTTTATCTTCTACACCCCTAGGGATGCACATATGGAGTTACAGGTAGATTTTCTTATGACTGTAAATAAAAACACACATTCAATTTCCTTTGCAGAAGGGGATATGAATAGCTTAGTCATTAATCCAGAGACAAGTAGGTAATCAGTTTTTGTGCTTAACAAATTCCGAAGTCATGTGATTAACATCCAGGTTTTAAAGATACACATACACTTTAGCAAACATGTTTAGAGCTTATAAGAAGAGAACAAATTTAAATTATTACTATGATACTCTGAAATGTATGTAAATGTATTAATCTCCTGTTGTTTGCAAAGTTTGCCCAACAATAGGTTATAACTTATTATATCTTTCAGGTGATGTACGCAGGTACACAGCGCGCCTTAGCCGCGGCCGTCGGCGCCCCGCGATTACTCGAAGTCAGGGAGATAGACGAACTGACCAACGAATGGCTTAACGATAAATTAAAACGATAGACAGCCAAGATAACAAAGATTCACCATACGTATTTTAGGAAATGTATTATTTTTATTTACTAAAGAGACAGTCAGAAAGCCTCCAAAATTCGTCTCAACATGTTAACTTCCATCGGTACAATTTATAAGTGAAAGGTGTTAACCCCCACAGGCATCATGCTTTTTGAGGCATTTTCCCTTATTCAGTAGTGTAATATTCTACCCAGGGATAGCAGGGTGGTTCAAAACTTATTTTTACTGGACTTTTGACATGTGACTATGGTATGTTAATAGGTTGAAACAAAAATTATATATTGAATAAGAATTTTTAATGTGTACCTAATTTAAAAAAGAGACATACTCATAACATTTATAATTAAGTGATTATTTATTAACTGTTTATATGTATACGAGAGGAACATATATTTGAAGTACATTTACCTTTATAGTACTTTGACACATAATTGTTTGGAAGTCTTGCCATTGTATTTTTCAATTTTGTAATCTTTATATGCCATATACTAATACATAGACAACATAAATACATGGGACATTCCACCTTAATACCCATGTGTTAAGGTTGAAATTTATGTTTTTATTCGTGAGGTACATAGAAAAAAACATTTTAATAAATTTAAGTCACATTCTTTTTATCTTGTAATTTCATAACATTCCTTAAAAGATATATTAAAATAAATTATAGAAATCTTTTGTAAGAAATGTTTTATGTCTAATGTACATTTGTGATGTGTTGCATTTAAACATATTTATATGTAAATAAGAAGTATGTGTGTGATTTTATTTTTATTTTTAAGTTTCCTTGACTTGATAATTATATAAATATTATTTACATAAAAAAACAGTGAAACGAGCAGTTACCATTAGCATAAGCTAATAAATACATAATCTAGAAGCCTATTAGCCCATATAGTACCTTCATGTATACTTACAGTGCGTATGAGCCATTTTGGCTATACAATAGTTGCTTATAGGAATTAGCAAGGCATACTATGCGTTCAATAAGTTTTTTGTGCTTGTCTATGGGCGAGAGATTATTTATGGGTCTATCGGCGAGTTTAATGCTCGTCGAGAAAGTTTTCTTGCTAGCGTTAGGATATCTGCTATACTGTGTGAGTAAGTAATGGTCGACTGCTCTTACTCAGTTGGCAGAAGTGCGATTCGGTATTAATCTTTAGAATTCCGCACCTAGTTTACCCCATGCTGGACCGCCTCTGTAGCTAATTGGTTAAATGTGTTGTCTAGTAGTGTGTAAAGCGCGAGAGGTCCTGGGTTCGAATCCCGGGGAAACAATAGATTGTTTCGGTCGGCAGGGCACAGAAGTCTGATCAACTACTTGCCTGTAAATAAAATCGACCAGTGAAACGGACACATAAATGTGTTCGCCCCATGCCCCACAAAGGGAAACGGGATTTCATACACCCTATGCTGGTCACGAACTCTCTTAAGTCTTAAATGTATTGGTTAATTTATTTTAACAATTACAAAAGTTTTAGCTTTCATTTTAATATGTATTAGAAAAAATGTTTCCAAAAATGAAATTCATTTAAAATTACTATTGGCATCTCTCAGACTATTTCGAGCATCTTTATTGGAAATTGTGCGTTGTTTCCTAACTTCCCTCGCAAGTTTGTCTTCCGGCGAGTTTTGCGCTCGTCGAGAAAGTTGTCTCGCCGGGACAGGGAACTGTCAAATTGTGCTCTACATTCCATATTTCCTTCCCATTAACTTTGCAGTTTTTGTTGGACACCCACTAAGATCTATACCGTGCTCTCTCATGTTACAGTATGGTAATTCTCCTAGAACGTCATAGCCGCACTTAGCAGCCAAAACTTGCGACGTAATAGCCGTGAAAACTGTCGCAACGGCGTGTATATTGAATGCTTTGCAGATTTGTTCTCTGAAAATATTGAGAAAAACTATTACGTACTAAGTATTATTGATTTAGTTAAGAAGGGATAAAACTCAAATATACAAATTATTGTATTTTAGAACAACAGATTAATAGATAATTTTGAATTGAGCTATAAATGGACACAAAAATATGTCCGCCTTAAGTTGGTAAAATTGATATTACGTATAGGTCAAACGAAACAGCGTTCCGAAAAAAATACTGTATTTACTCTACACTAAGTTGTTACGTCTGTGTTTAAAAACACCTTTACTGTTTGGCAATACCCAAACACGTTTCGTCCACGTATTCTACGTGGACGAAGTCGCGGCCACAGCTAGTAAGTAATATAGAAGATAGTGTCCGTACAATTTTATAACAGTACGCACCTAGCACCAATAATTTTAGCTCCTATATTCTGGCCTCGGTGTTCAGGCAGGACTGTTAAGCCGCTCGATGTAAGAAATTCCTCAACACCGTAGTGATCGAACACGTTTACCAACTCTTCTGCTGCGATTAACGTGCGTAAGAGTTTCTTCCACTGCTCACCCTTTATCTGTAAAATATATACCTTCTATTATTATTAAAAATGTATAAGTATTATGACATATACGTAATAGCAACCCTCTATCTGCGTAATCCTGAAATGTCAACTTCTTAGCACAAGTAGATATCTACTTGTTGTAGTATTTAGTCATCTTCGCAATCACTTTTTTGTAAGCAATTGGTTCGTTACCGAATTTAATGTGGTACATGTATGCAGTGGATAAAAAATAAGTATTTATACCCGGTTTAAGTATTGTCTGTAATTTATATTTAAATAAAACATTTTGTACGATTTTAAACTCTAAGTAAATTAGTTTATTTATCTATTTTAATCATGGGATGTCTGATACCTGATGGTGGTGATAACGTTATATTTTTTTAATTACCGCAAACGGGTTCATTTATTCACTTTATTTTATTTTAATTAATTATTTTGGCCTAGATCAATATATACGCAATGTATTTAAAACACCTGCACCAAAGTATGTATTGTTTCAATTTGCAAAGAAAGAAATCTCGAAACGTCATCTGCAAACGTACACCTGCTCTAGTCCCAGCCGTGGGACTAAAGGAATGAGAAATTTACTTACGCTATCAAAATCCTCTTCATCATCTTGCCTAGATTTTACAACCAAGATATTGAACCCAACCAGATCCTTAGGTTGTCCATCCACTTCAGTGAAGCAAGCTATGCAAATACCTTGATCAGCTATTGCTTCCCAGTTCGATCTGATCGTCTCTATAGACGGTGGATCATCTTGTATCCCTGCCAAAGTAATTCTACTTATACTGTTTATCTTGTCTATCGTAAAATTACAAGTAGCAAAGTCAAGTCCGGTATGCTACCGCCATCTGTACGTAGCAGATTGTACTCTAGGAAGTTACATTTTGACGGAATAGTTACGATTTCCATCAAGTCTAACATTTTTCGAATAAATTTATAATTTTTCTGAAACGTGTTGGACTTCGTGTCTTAAATGGGGTGTGGGAATATCGAAATTCCGTCCGGGTCACAACCACCGTCCACAATTGAAGAGGGTGAGAAGTTTAATCACGTTTCAGGCTGAAAACGCATCTCGTTTATATGACAGGGCTTTTTCACAATGAAGTAAACCTCACGCTTATATGTCATCGTCTATTGTAAAAAAAACTTTTTCGCGTCCTAAGCTGTTTATAATTGTTTTATAGGCACCTAGAAATAGTAAATACTTCTACCAAGAGCGTTTTGTACATTTCTATCTATAAGATACTAACGCCGCGTTACTACGAGAACGAGCAATACTTTTACTTTTAGTATGATAGTTTGCATTACCTATTACCTAATATCTGACAGAGAGGCTCATCATTAAGAAATGTCTTCTGCATCATGTCCAAACATTGCTTCCTCCACTTCTCGTCCATATCCCGTATTTGGTAGCTGGATATTGAAATTTACGATTTATTTTCTTTTATTTCATTTTTTTTATATATTATTATAGTAATTAATTCAATAAATATAATTATTAAGTAAGTACTAAAAAGTACAAAAATATTTAGCAAAACACCGTTGCTGTCAAAATATACTACTTACTATCAGAAAAACTTATGTGACGTTCCTTTTTCCTTTCGGTATGAAGTGAACATATTTCTGTATCCGTCTCATTGATTTAGGTAGAGATTTGATTAGGCATCTGTGCCCTGTCCGACCCAAACAATGTTTCAGCGGGAATCGAAGTTGTGAGTTCCCATGTTTAAGGTACGGAAATTAGCAAGTAGCAAAAAATACTTGTTTTTATCGTTCTACTTACACGCATGCTGAGTTTCCATTCCTCTCCCTACCTTCAAATCTACTCCATACTTGTCCCTTGGGCACGTTTTCTGGTCGCTTCCAATGCATCATTTATGAGAAACTATTCAAAATTATGAGCCAATCACTGATTTATCATTTAGTGTAATGTCGATACAAATATATTAGATTCATGTAAACGTATAGTAGATTCGTTCCAAAGCTTTCTAGTGAGAGAGTTATCTCTACAGCTTAGTAATTGCATCGGTTATTATATGGACAAGTGGTTATGTGTTCGCATCCCATGAAAACATGATGTGACAGTGACAGTGGTTCGTAATCCAAACGGAATCTCGATATTCCTACCGTCCATCTAATATTCAGACAAAGTCTAACACTTCAGGTGTTTAAAACTACAAAGTTACAAGTTTAAATACTTTTCGAGTTTTAAACCGTTATTTAATAAAAGTTATTCAATCGTCACTATTTAAAAATATTTGCGCCTAACCTTGCAATACTTTTTCATCTATTGCTAGCTAAAAACTTCCTTGTTCCTCATAATACTATATTAATAGGCCGAAAATAAAATGAAGCAAATTTTAAAACGTAAAGCTTGCAACTTCTCCACGCTGTCAGATTTTGCCGCCATTTTGTCTGCGTTTATGTATTAAAAATGGATTTACCTTACGAATCGCGCAGAATCACAAATTTAAAGGCTATACTGATCAACTAAGCAAGCGCAAATTATATGTACAAACTTGTTATGAAGAAAAAACAAGTGTGTTATCTCAAAAGCGACCTTATCAGGACGTGATAAGGTTTGCGCAAGCGGTTTTGACCAAGTATTGGCTATTTATACGTTGATACGAATGTGTGTTTCCACTGTAATTTTTGCCGATTGTTATTAGATGTTTAATAAGATAATAATTCAATAATTTTCAATTTATAATGAAATGTGCATAGTTCATAACAGGAAAAAGTTCAGACACTATACACAATTTTTTAATTTAAGGCCAAGTTATTTTGTCCTACTTACGGTACTCCCAAGTCTTTTCATAAAATAATTGGTAATGTGTGTGAAGTAACACATTATTTAATAGGACTATCAGTTATCTTAATTGTGTTCAATGTACATTTAAAAACTTAAATATATTTTTAAATTTTATTGCTTCTACTTAAGAAGTGCATTGTTGGAATGAGTTAGATACGATAGTTAAATTAATTATAGCAGCACGGAAGATGGACAAAAGTTCGTGCGTGTTAGGGTAGGGATTAGTTTTACCGCCCGGCACCCTGTGGGGTCAGAGTACCCTGCCAGACTTCCACCGGGCGCGTCCCCAGGTGGCGGATAGGAGAATGGTCGTCAGATAATGACGATTATCGGCAGTTAGGCTACCGGCGCGGACCAAATCTGGTGGGTTTCCACGGGCGTACCCTAAACGGCCAGAAAGAGAGCGTTTTATCGCTCGGGCGATCGTCGCGTTTTGTCGTCGGGTCTTCGGACTCAGTGGTGCTTCGGCACGGTGGATGGCGTGTCTCCAACACCACGAAGTATAGGCTCCTGATTAGTTCTTAGAAGAGAACCCTACAGGATGCGTAATGGTGGGGGCCTTTTCGCCCGTTTTTGTTTTAGCGCTACTATGCTGAAACAAAAACGGCTCAGGAGAGCTGCGGCTTTGCTGTGGGTCATGTGGTTAAGGCTCTGCTGATACCGTGACTCACCCTTAAGCGATAAGACGGCGCAGTCGGTTTTTAGTGCGGTATGCCCACCTCCTTCGAGGTGGGAGAGACCCACATTACCCCTCGCAATTGCACCGCGTCGCGAGGGGTATTCTTAACAAACTCCGGGAGTGGACTGCGGCCATTCGCCTGTCTGTCCGCTGGCGAAGTGTGGCGGCATCGTCTTCTGCAGTCACGCGGCATCTCCCCTTAAGGTAGCACGGGCGGGCGACAGCCTTTGGTCCGTGTCCACTGTGTTAGCCCACCATTTAGGCCAAGGAGACAGGCTAGCTTGCTTTTACATATGGGTTGCCGCTTGAGCAGTCGTTAGACGTGTTAGCTTTACATTGACCCGGACCCAGGGAGGCATTTTCCGACGGGAAAAAAAGGGATTAGTCTTACCTGCCGGTTCTATGTTTGCTGACTTTGCTTGGTCAACTAGTCTTCGGAACTGGCCGTATAACAATGGAAACAGTTTACAAGCGCCCGCGTCGATTCTCATACAAACTACGACATATTATTACACACACGTTGAAACTGTTTGTGTGTTCCACCTTGACCGCATGTGTAATGATAGATTGATAATGCCCTACAGAGCCATTGCACGTCGAGATAAATATAATTGTTTTAGTGGACTTCTACTCCTCACTCTTATAAAAATAGCATAAAATTTGTAGAATGCTAAGCTGAACAAAATTATATACCTATTATAGAATCCAATGATCGGCCGAAATTCCTAACAAACTTAAAGATTAGAATTTAAAATATTTGTTTAATTAAGTAAGTATGAATTGAATTTTAAAGTAAGTATGAAATAAATTTTATTTATATGGTATTCCAGCATCATTAATAATAAAAAAAGTTTTAAATCTGCTTAGATGGAGGTAGCCTAATTACTTTTTTTTTAAATTGTAAAAATGAACCGATATTTTATAAAAGCTTAGACAAACATTACTTTTAAAGCGATTAAGCCACAGCTAGGCTTCGGTTGTAACAACATTCAGGCCAACTTTTTAGAATATAATTTCAAAATCATCACAATAATTTGTTTTGTTTACCATATGCCATCAAGCAAGGAGAGCACGATTTTCCTACAAATGCTGTAAGGAAATTTAAAAAACACGTTTTTCCCAACCGTAAACACTTCCAGGAAAACTATTTAACACCATAATAATTTCCTTATCGTTTTCAATTTATCTATGGAATAAATATTTACCCGACATGAGTCAGCAACGCAGTAATTACTGAGATCGTATAGTGAGACTGAATATCAGCGGGTTCAGTTGCTTCAGTGGGCATCGTGAGCGAAAATAAACAATTCGCTTCCCCGAATTCACTCCAGGTGCTGCGAATTAGTGATGTGCGATCAACTTATCGATATATTTACAAATATAATTAAATAATATTTTTAGTTTTATGTATTTCAGTTTTTTTGTAACAACACAAAATAGCTCCATACTAAAATAAAGTACAAAAATGTCGTATATGGAATTTGGGAAATACTTATTAAGATCAAATACGTAAAATAAGTAAAGTAGGTTTATATATTATATTCTTAATTGCATGGATAGTAATATACTTAGTTACTTAAAAAAACGGGGATGTCTTAGATGACAACTGCTGCAAGACGTCTCAAAGCTTTGGAGACTCAGATTTCGACGCGTAGTATAACATCAGTAGTGAATGTATGTTAAGCTTCATCGATACATTAAAACGTCACTAAACCATCCGTAATTTTATATTTCCCCAATCCCTATTTGCCCAGTTTCCCGGCGGAGTCCACAGTGTGCGCGGGACTCTTGGCTGCCATTTGGTGCGCGTGTATTTTCGTTCCGAAATAAAGTGATTTAAAAATAATTTTTATCTCTCTGTTGTGGACTTGTGTTCGGCTATGATTTTGTAAGTATAGTGTTGTGTTAAAAATAAACGATTTTAATGTTTATTTTGATTGAGTCTTGTGAAGTTGCCGCCAATTTTTTTAAGTGTTGTGACGGGATTCTTACCATAGGCGCATGAGTTTGGGCATTGTCTGAATTATAATATACAAACTCTCTGTAGTTTACGCGAGTAGTACACCTTTAAAAACAGTTTATCGCTTTCAATTGCGAAATATATTAGCTAAACCAAAAAGTAAAGCATCCGAAACGTCGAGCCGTAATTAAAATAATTCGTAAATAGGTTTAAATAATATTTTTTGCGTTTTAAACCGTTAAAGTGGTTTTTAATAAATAGTTCATATCGATAGGTATTTTTTAACAGACACGTATTCTACCAGACTTTTGCTTCAGTCCAAAAAACACTATTTACCACTTTTAAATGAAACACTTTAACGGTTTAAGACGCGATATATTAGTTAAACTTATTTGAAAATGATTTTTAATTTCGGCCCTTAATTTAAAAAAAAATCATTTTCAAATAAATTTAACTAATATATCGCGTTTAAACCGTTAAACTCAAACTCAAACCATTTATTTAAAAAAACAGAATAAATAACTTAAATATAAGCTTAAATAACTAACATTTATAAAAAAAAGAGAAGGAAGAAAAAACAAACAAAAAATAGAAACTTGGACGTTAAAGTGTTTTTTTTAAATGTGTACTACTCGCGTAAACTATAGACACTATTTACCACGTTTTCCCGCAATTTGAAATCAGAACTTTTCGCGCCTAACACTTATTCGACTACGACCGGTACTCAAATAATACTTTATTTATTAAGCAAGTTTAAAATTTGTTTAAAAAAATGTTACCATACCGTGTGACTTATATCCTGCCTTTGTCTGTTTTGTAGGGCAAAACATTCGCATCTTTCCATACATAAACCAACTAAACATGAAACAAAACTCGTGTAGTTCAAAATCTGTCCACAAGCTTCTTAAAAATATATATTTCATCGCCTCTATTTTCAATACATATCTATCAATATCAATCAATATACCAATATGCCAACAGTATTGTGTTTGAGAGCATTCCTCGTGGCGAATGTAGAGCCAAACTATGTACGTTACTATGTTTTATTTATAAAAACATAAGCTGGGTACCAGTAGGAAAGTTATCTAATTGTTAGATAACTCTATATGTTACGTACTGCATGTAGTTTACGCGAGTAGTACACGTTTAAAAGGTTTTTAGCGGTCCCCGCGTCCCTTCGACCACAGCTGTTGCAAAGCATCTGAACTGTCGGGTCCTAGTTAAAATAAATTGTAAATTAAGTTAACTAATACATTCCGCGTTTTAAACCGATTAATGTTTTTTATTTAAAGGATCAAAGTCCTCAAAATATCCTAGCATAAAAATATCGTTATTGTGGTTGTTATTATATATTTACTTTCTAAGGTATACTGGATGTACATACCATAGAAAGAACTCATGCACTCTATGGCACAAGGTGT